ATAATAGATTTAGAGTAACTTTAAGCCAAGTTGCAGATAATAGAAAAGAATATCTTATTGCCTATGCAAACAAAAGTCGTAAAAAAGAAGAAGTTAACTATAGAGCAACAGAATTAGAATATTCTACTATAGTATAGGCAATAGAACTTTTTCATAAATATTTTGGAACAAATTATTTTACTTTAGTTACTAACTATTTAGCCTTTTAATAGTTAAAATCTTCTCAATCTAAAAGATAATTAGATAAGTAGATAAAATTATAATTTTACTACTTTACTATAATTCATAAACTAGAATAAAAACATTCAAATATTAATATATTTTCTAGATTAGAGACTCAAACACATCTCTCTTCAACTTTAAATAAATAAATTTAGACTATTACTAAAATCTCTTAGAAATACCTAGAAATAAATAATTTTCCTTTTGACTTAACAGACTCTGAAAAATAGATATTAATTAGACAATCTAGATTTTATAAAGTTAGAAACAGAATATTATATAAGAAGAATTGAAAGACTTAAATAAATTAATCTGAGTAATTAGATGAACTAAAGTAAAATCTGTTCTCTATATAATATATAGTACTCTAATAGCTAAATATAAATTATATAATTAATTATATCAAATAACTAAAAAAAATAATTTAATTAAAGTTTATTTAACTTACTAAATCATCTATGTCTATTTTAGGAATCTCAATATCAGATGATTCACTTAAAGTTGTAGTTAAATCAATAAAGTTATCACACAAAAATATGCTTAAAAAGCTTGAAGATTTTGATTTTAATAAATTTTTGGAAGGTACTATTTGTGAGTTTAAAGACTCAAATATTGTTGAAATACTTGAAAATTCAGATAACGAAGAATTATATTTTTTTAATAACATTATTGTAAATAACTATTATGAAATAAAAAATAATTAAAAAATTGAAACTATATTTATTTAATCAATATTTAATCAATTTATCAATATTTGATCAATTAATTAAATAGATAAAGAATTGAGTTTCAACAAATTTAAATAATGCAAGCAAGTTAAAATATATTTTACTGAAAAGAAATAATTATATAAACTATTATTGAAATAAAAATTTTAACAATAAATTAATATTTACAACTTTAACTACTTTTATAGTTCTTTTTTTTTTTTTTTGTTATTAAGGTGGCTTATATTGCTGAGTGAATTTTATTAGTTTGATATATAAGGTCCTACATGGGGTTCTCCTACAGTTTGTAATTACATGAAGAGTGTACAACAAGCCACACGTACAACTTTAGTCATTGTCTAATTTAAGTAGTCCGCTATGCAGGCGTTAGACTACCTGTTAGTACTACGCTATGCTGCCATACCTGTAACCTGCCTGTTAGTTACTTATTTAAACACTCTGTTCAACTAACCCATACTGTTACAAACTAACGTTACTGTAACATCTAACTGCCTTTTATAGTTCTAATTAATCATTATAATTTATGTATTTATAACTAAAGAAAAATATATATATTATTACTTTTAAAATATGCTGTATATTTAAAATTCTAATAAAGACTTATTTAACTTTAAAGATATATGCAAATTTTTTCTTAAAACTAAATTAGAAAAGTTATCTAGTATATAGTTAAAAATATCTTATACACTTTAATTTTATATGTTTAATAATCAAGTATAGAGTTTTTAGAAGTTTACTAAAAATATATATAAGTTTGAATCAATTTTTCATATTATTTAAATTCTAGTTATTTAATATATATTTAAAGTTTGAATTGTTTAATTTTTTAAATTAATTAAATTCTAGTTATATATTTAAAAAATATAGTAAAATATTAAAAAAAAAAAATACTATATGGTCTCAAAATAATATTCTGAAGTGTAATTTAAAATTATAACCCTAAATTAAATCCAATTTGAACCAAAATTTTAAACTACACATAGGCATTATTTTGAGACAGTAAGCATTAGCACAAATTCTTGAATATATTACAGTACCAAATTGAAATATTACTAGTACTTTACAGTGTTATTATATAGACTTTCAGTACTCTAGAGTACTTTCAGATAATTGTAACAATTCTATACTTTGAATTAACATAGAATAAGTACTAAATATATATATATTCACTAAAGTCCTAGGAAGAATATTTAGAAAAGGGTCAAAAGATAAAGGACAAAGTATAGATAGACTTGAGAAAGCAATTTTAGATACACAAATAGAACACCTTAATACTGAATATAAGATCAATATACCACAGCTACCAGAATGCTAGAACAAAGATACTATAATGAAATTAAAGAGTAGTGAAATGTATTAAAGGAAAAAGTACAAAAGGAAATGCAAGCTGCAAAAGAAAAAGAAATAAAAGAAAGAATCGAGGAAAGATTCGTATTAATGCTAGAAAATCAAAAGCAAATGCTAAACAAATTGCTTGAACATCCACATAATAAGATTATAGTTAATAGAATCTTAGTTTAGAGCAAAAACAAGTTCAAAAGCAAAAAACTAGTTACAGAAAGCAACAATATTAAAAGAGAAGTAGAAAAGCATTTTAAAGAATAATTAAGAAAGTAAGATCACAAGTTCGAGCAAATAGATCAAGAATAGGCTAATATATATAAAGAACAAGAAAGAATCAATGAAGCTTAGTATATAGAAGTAATAGATAAAATAACAGAAGAAGAATAGTTAAAAGTAACAAATATGCTAAAAGAAGATATAGCATCTGGTATTTTAGGAATCAGTTACAGGCTCATAAAGCAAGTAAGCTTTAAGACAAAAGAATATTTGGTTAAGTTTACAAACAAAATAGTCTACGAAGGAAAATTTTCTAAAAAATAGAAATTAGGACAAATATATTTAATCTCTAAAAGTACAGATTGAGAATTTAACTTAGCTAGTACTAGACTAATAATATTACTCAAGACATTTAAAAAGCTAGTAGTTAGAATAGTTCAAAAAAGATTAAGTAAAGTTTTTGTTGAAAAGCAAATTCTAAAAGAGCAAACTTTGCAGGACTACCTAATGAAAGTACTATGGCACCTATTCATGTTTTGAATAATGTTATTGAAGATATGATTCAAAAAGAAAAAGAGTTGTAGATAGCTTTTCAGAATATGCAGAAAACCTTCGACTCAGTTAGTATATATGCTTTAGAACTCTTTATAAAAAGAATTAAACTCCTAGAAAATCTAATTGTGTTTATCAAGCAATTATATTAAGACTATGAAATAAGAGTAATAACTGATAAAGGCCTAACAAATTTTTTTATAGCAGAAGATAGAATAGATCAAGGAGAAGTAATTTCTCCTCTAATGTGGAGAATATTTTATGATCTACTGCTAGTAAGAATATAGCAGCTAGAAATTGAGTACCAAATAGAGCTCCAGTGACTAATAGATATTGAAAGATATACATATAAAATAGAAAAAGCTATGATTTCAGCATTAGTATATGTTATACTATATGGGTAGCAGAATCAAAGCAGGCATTACAAAAAATTATACAGGTATCAAATAGCTTTTTTGCACTAAATGATATTAAGATAAACAGAGCAAAATCTGAAGCAATTATTTGGAGACCCTACAAGCAAGAGAAAAAAGAAGAATATATACAAATCAGAATCTTACTAAGCCTAGTTATAGTTAAAAAACTAGAAAAAAGTATGAGGTTTTTGAGAGTTTAGATAAGTTTAAGAAAACAAGAAAGAACAAGTATCCTATAGTATAAAAAAGAAATAGGAAAATTAATTTGTATACTAAAATACAAAAAACTCTCAACAAGCCAGATAATATACATAAACAATATAGTCCTGCTTCCAAAGCTCGAATATCTGCTAGCAAATATATGTTTAAAGGAAAAATCATGTGATAGTATACACCAACCTATGCTTAGATTAATTAAATAGAAATTAGAGCTACCTTTTACATGTGCAAATGCAGCTCTTTGGTATAAAGAAATTTTTGAAGTAGTAAGCCTATGGCAAAAGTATATTGAGTACTATATATCAGAGCTCTTCATAAGAATGAATACAAATAGTATTGTAGATATTACTACTTTAATGAGGTTAAAGCAGTCACAACTAGACATGAATATGCTAGAATGCATATTTACAGCAAAAAATATAAGAAGAAAAAAAATTAAGCATAAAAATCTAAGAGCTACAATAATATAATATACAAAAAGATATGATTTAAGAGTTGTAAAAAATGACTTAATAGCAAGTTAGAATCTTATAAACTTGTAGGAAGGAAAAAACTGCCTTTTCAATAATATCTTTAATAAATATAATATAAAAGAAGTATAAGTAGAGCTGTTACCTGGATCAGATGACCCGTATGGATCACCCAACCCAACGGGTCATGGGTCAGAAATTGCCTTGACCTGGGTCAAATGGGTTAAAATTTAAAATAGGTAAAACTTGCTAAATTACGCAATTATATGTATATCAAGATCAATATAAAAGAGATACGTCATTATTATACATAACCGTATTGGTAAAAAACGTATTAAATAGAACACTTTTTTTTTCTTTTATCTCACCAAATAGAACACATTTTTACTCGGAAACAGAATGGATCAAGCTATCCCAATTTTTTTTTTTATTTAATAATAAGTATTTAATAATTTTTTCAAAATAATACATATGTATGTTCACAATATTCAAAATTAATAATTTACATGAATGATTTTTTAAATCTTCAGGTGATTCCTCATATGTCCCATCACACAGTAAACTTCAAATTTTATTTTAATATATTTAATTATTAACAATTAAATATTTAATTGTATGTGATTCATTATTTTTTTGTATGTCAAATTTTAAAAATATATCATAATTTAATTTTACTGATTTATTTAGATCTGCAAATACTTCATGTTTTCTTATATTGCCGAGCACCTGTTTACTAACTTTAACTCTGGAGCTATTTGTTTAATTCAAATAATCATCTGTTAAGTTATTAAATTCAATTATTTTGAACTATTAAGTATAAAAATTTTTATTATCTAGTTAAAAATATATGAAACAGGCCAAATCTTTAGAGCTAACTTAAGAAGCAGAATTGATTCAACAAATTGAGAATTAAGACTTGTTCTTTTTTCCATAATAGTAAGACCTGCAGAGGAAAAAAGACATTCAGATGGCACTAATATAGTGGGAATAGCAAGATACTTGCTAGCAAGTTTTGCAAGTATAGAATAATCAGATTTTCTTGATGCTCACCACTGAAGTATGTCTGTTTCGCTTGGAACCCTTGGTAGTAATAAATATGAATTAAATTCACGATTAATAATATCATCATCATCATTTTGATTTGAATTTTCTTGAAAATAATTGGCCACGGGATTAGAAAAAATATCTTCGCCATGCATTATATCATTAGGAGCTAAATCTAATAGATTGTTTGTTTCATAATAATTCATAGCTAATTCAAGATATTCTATACGAACTTCTAAAATAGTTTGATATTTCTCTTCTTCAGTAAATATTTGCATATCTTTAGTTCATAAATCAAAAAAGGCAACAAGTCGAATCGGTTTAGTTGGTTCTAAAAATCGTTCTTGCAGTGATTCACTAAGAAGACTTCCAAATTTTTTAATATCATCATTATTTATTATTGTTATTGCACAATCAAGTTTTACTTTAATAAAATTAATTGCAAACCATGCTTAAGAAAGTGTTGGATACTGTGAACCAGACAATTTTTTTGAAACAACTTCATAAGGATACAATAACTAAACTAATTCAGTTACTTTTTCCCATTCAATCGATGACAACTCTTTTTCTTCATAACTTCTTAGCGAACTATTATCATTAATTTTAGCTAAAAATGACTTGTACTTATACATTGCTGGCTTAAAGATCATTAATTATTTTAGCAAATAAAATGTCGAATTCCATCTTGTTGAGACGTCATGAACTACAAAAAGAAAGTTATTCCAATTTTCCATCTCTATTTGGGCTTCTAAAAGAAATTGTTTTTGTTTAGGACTTCCACTAAAATGTAATATGACATCTTTACATTTTTTTATTAGATTAGCAATTTCAGAACACCCTTTTAATACATCATGAATTGCAAGCTGTAGAGTATGACCAAAACAATGAACTTTATAAATGCCATATTTTCGCTTTAATTTTTCCAAACACAATTTAATATTTGACCTATTGTCAACTGTATCACTAATGACTATATGTTTAATTTTAAGATTATCTAAAATTTTAACAATTTTATTTAAAAGACAATCGGAGGTATGGAAGTATAGGAGATATGAAATATTACCAGTTATTTCTTTTACTTGAAAACTATCATTTATCTAATATAGGGTAAGTCTGATATACGGATTACCATTATTTGACATCTACATATTTGTAGTAAAAGAAATATAACCAATTTCAGCACTATTAAGTGCATATTCACGAAAGTTTTGCAAAACCTTGTCCTCGAAATTAATAAAAATTTCTTTTAAACGATCATTACTAAGTATATTAGCCTAGGCATCAAAACCTTCAATTATTCTTTTAAATGCTCGTGATTGAATAATTGAAAATGGTTGAAGTTTTTCAATAATTAAAGCAACTATATTATTATTAAGGTTTTTTTGTTTGGGGTTATTAAATGCATATTTTTTCACTTTGTTAAATGATTGCATTATCGTTAATTGAGAGGATTCTGGCATTACAGAAAATTCACAATTGTTACACTCTATTACAACCTTTACTCAGCCACTTTCTATTATAGTCTGTAAAATATGATGCTTATTTCTTAAATGGTGCTATAAATTTAAAGTAGAACCATTTTTTAAATATTTTGTTCATGGAATACAAATTTTATGACAACAAACTCAAAACTCTAAATTATCAATTAATCTTGTCTTATAAAATACTTTAACAGGACTACCACTCAGCTTTTCAATTTTTTTTTGTCTTTTAACTACACTAGTTTGTAATAATACAGATGACTGAATTGAATCTTCATTATTATTATTACTATCTGTATCGTTAGATTCTAACCTATCCAAATCAAAATATTCAGGCTCATCCAAATCAACATTCTCAGACTCAACATCCCCATACTCATCCAAATCAATATCCCCACACTCATTCAAATCAATATCCCCATGCTCATCCAAATCAACATCCTCGGGCTTATTTAAAACATCCTCAGACTCTAATACCATATCATCTAAATATTTATCACTCATCATTTATTTGCTTAGTAATTCAAATCTGCGATGACTTTTTGGTTCTTGATTAATTAAATATTCTTTGAATGCTATTAATTTAGCTTAATTTTTTATAAATACATGTTTGGTAATATACTTACAAGGTTAGTGAACTTTAATAATTTTAATTCTATAGAATAAAAAACTTTGCTAATTACTTTTTCACAATAAACAGGATGAATAGTACTTACATAAAATTTTATTTGTTTTGTCAGTGGTTGTTTTTTTTAAAATTAGTAGTTGGTAGTCTTCAACTTGTAATCTTCAACAAATATAATTTGACTTTTTATAACAAGTGCAAAAACACTACAGATGGCCTATAAGCATTAGAAACTTTGAAATACTTACTAATTTGATTTTATAAACATATATACATATAGCGCAAAACCAGCATTTTTTTCTAATACCAGTTCCATAGAAACAATAAATATATATATGTATATATGGTGCAAGAAATCTAAACCTTTTTAATATTAAAAAAAAAAGAAAAAAGAAATCTAAACCTTTATTCTTTTCTTACACCAATTCCATAATTCAATTCTTTATATGTGCATCCTAAAACAGTTATTCTTTTTTTCTCACACTAATTCTATAGAAATAATAACAATAACCTGGAATGTTTTAATTATATATATACGTGCAGTGCAGAAATCCAAAACCAAACTCTTTTACTCTTTTCCTACACCAATTCCTTATAAGTAATAACAAAAATTCTCATAAAATTAATGCCTTAACTAATTTTAGATAACATACTAATAATTTATGCTTATCTAATTCAGCCCAATTCATAAATAACAATATGGCTTTAACTGCTTCGTGAATGTACGTACGTACATATATATGTACTGAAAATTTTAATCAGATATGCATAATTGAACTATTTTATGAAAAATACTTTCTTATAAACAATAATTTTGCTTTTGGCGTATTATTTCTATTTAAGGGAGATCCGATTTTATTAAAGAACCATTATATTAGCTTTATGTAGAGATTACACTAACTTTAACTTTAAAAAAATTGATAATTTTTCTTATGACTCGTTGACCCAGGCCACAACTCGGGTCAGATATCTGACTTGCTCGGGTTATTATTTTTCTACTCGGGTAATAGCTCTAAGTACAAGAAGGCATAAGTAAGCTCAACTTATAGCACATAAATCAGTTATTAGATAAAGAACAAGAAAGAATAATTACTTGGAGACAACTTAAAGTAAGAGAAAGAAAGAGACATGTCAGAAGAAAGGCCAAGTAGTTCCAAATTCTGAAGAATGAAATTATAGAAGATAAGAAATTAAGAGTAGTAAATGAAGAATATCAAAAAAGAAGAAGGTTCTAAGTACAAGAAATTGAAGAGAGAATTTCACATGACAAAAGAAAGAAAGAATGGGTACTTATAAAAAGCAAAGAGAAAGAGAAAAATAAAATAGGTCATATTATCAGAAAAGAAAAGAAGCTTGTAGAAGTAGAGATCTGAGAAGAAGACAATGAGAACTTGCATATTGAAGGCAGTCAACAGAAAGTATACAAAGAAGGAATCAAACTGAAAAAAAATAGTCAGAAGTAAAGGATAGTACTTAAAGAAGTTCATAATATCTTAAGCTTTATATGGAAGAAGGATAATTTGACAGAAGTAGTATTCAATTAAAATTACCTAGAAAAAATAGGAAAAAAGAACCAAAAAACCAGAAAGGAAGACATGAAAAAATTTAAGAATATAGAGCAGATTATAGTAAAAAATAGTTAGAAAGCAGAGCTAATTAATCAAGTTGTTCAAGACAAAAAAATTAGAGAAGAGTTAAAAGATAGATTAGAGGCAAATAGAGAAGAAATGGAAATAGTATTTTATACAGATAGCTCACTCAGTAGTGGAGATATTAGGAATAGAATAGAGATAGAATTTAGCATAGTACAAATAGATAGCACAAATAATGTAGTTTTTTGTTATAAAAAAAAGATAGAAAATTGGTTCTTATCTACTTGTGCAGAGCTAGTAGCTTGTCTAGTAGCAGTTTTGTTAGCTCTTAATAGATGCAAAGTAGAAATAAAGACAGATAGCATATGCTTAATCTTTGCAATTGAGAATTGTCTTAAAAATGAAAAAATACACAAATAGTTAAAGTTGAAAAATAATAATATTCTACATGCAATCAAGAAAGTCTGCAAAAGCAAATCAGTTTAGCTAATGTTTACAAAAGTCAAAAGTTATTCAGGAAATATATATAATAACCTTGCAAATAAGCTTGCAAAAGAAAGAATATATGAAGCAAATAGCATAGAATTAAACAATATTAGTAATAATAGTATAAAGTATATTCTTGAATAGAAAAAGATTAGTTTAGCTACTTCTCTAAGAGCTTTCATTAAAAGGACGTTCAAACAACATACAAAGCAGAATGGACTTAGTTAAGATAGAAAAATGATGAAGAATATCAAATAAGAATTTACAAACAGGATTAAAAGACTTTTAAGGATATACTTGAAAGCTGCTGTAAACAATATCAAAATTCTAAAGTAAACTACTTGTGATTATTTAAAATTAAATATATCAAAAATCTTCTTCTAACTGTTGAAATACTAAACTGCAGAAGATCACAACTTTACAAGAATAGCCTATTAAAAGATGTCTAAAAGAAAAAGAAACAATTAGACATTTGATTACTTGTGAAAAAACATATCAGGCACTTGAAAAAATCAAAGAAGAAGCATAGAAATAGCTCTATAAAGATAAAAGGAAGGAAGAAGATTAGAATCTAACGAGTATACACTAAGCTTTCTAATATAAACAGATAATAAAACAACAAAAGAAAAAAGAATAGTTAAGAAGCAACCTTGCTGAAGATGATGCTAAAAAAATCAAGTCTATTGTCAGCTCTGAAAGTATAACAACCAAATTCTGAAGCTTATTCTAGCATATTGAATAGAATTAGTATATAAGGAAATTTGGAAAAACTGATGCAAAGATATAAAAGCATGGGAGAAAAAAGAAAAGATCTCAAAAAAAGAAAACTATGTGCAGAAAGAAAAAAAGAAAAATGACTGAAAGGAAAGGCTTACAGAGAAAAAAACAAACTGCAGAATAGATAAGAATTTAGAAAATTGTAATAGTAGTCTTAAAATGATATTGGATAGTATAGCAAAGGAAGTAAAAAAGGAAATTTTAAGTAATTAGATTTAAAGTTTGTTATGATAGGCTGTAGTATCCTTTCTATACTAATGTATAGTCTATAAATTATAAACTACTCTAGTATAGAACAAAGATTACTATAGCAGATTGTACATAGGTATCAATATGATAACTAAACAAGTCAGAGCTTAAAAAATTAGACATTAAATAGTATATAACTAAATAATGTTGTTTTTAAATGAAAAACAAATCTAAATAAAGTCATGGCATGACTGCTAAATTTAAAAAAAAAAAAATATTTATTTTAACAACTTTGTTAAGAAATTTTTTAAAATTATTATAAAACTTTTGAGTAATAAATCTTTAAAGTTTTGCTTTGAAAATTTTTACTATAAAATTTATGGTCAAATTTTTTCAGATTTTATATATAAATGAAGCTAAAAATAATTTTTATTTCTAATCCAAGTATAAATTTTTACAAATAAATTACAAAAGTTGTAATAATTAAAGTTGTAATCTTTTAAAAGTTTTATTAAATTGCTTAAGAGTAGGGGGTATGTAGATCATTTTTCATATGATCATCATGATAAATTAAAATTTTAGTAAAAATTTGAAACA